CAAATACCTTACAGTTATGTAAGTATTTCATATTGACAATATCATTGTAATCAAGCATGTAAAAAGATACAAATTAGTTTGGTTTTGCCTTCCTTAAGGCTGTGATAAATATCCTTAATTATATTTTATTCCTTTAATTCTTCGTTAGTTAAGTGCCTTATCACTTATTCCATTACTTTATTCAGGAACCTTTATCATAGATTTCTTTATTTGGGAATCTTAATCTTAAATTTTCTAGTTGTAATTAGAGAGCATGAGTGGTACCCTCTGAGGAAGTAAGAAACATCTGCCTTCAGTTCAAAAGCAACAGATATTTGTCACGCTACTATATATTAATGCCTTTTTCTTAAACATTACGCAAAAGCAAAAATGAAATATGTGCAATTTTTTAAATTGTGCAAATATGTGCAATATGTGAAATATGTGCAATCTAATAAAAWTTTCCAGTAAAAAGGCCCATACAAATGTGTTAAACAAACACCTGTATGTTTTCTAAATATTTTTTCTCCATGAATACTTTGCATCGAAAGTGTTACTGGAACACGGAAAAGTTTTGCTACCACTTACACTACAAGCCATTCTGCATGGGAATAGCTGGAAATAATAAAACTAAGAAACTCTTCTCATTGTCACAGAATTCAAGTCTGTCTGTAGTACTTCATCTTTATTATTTTTGATCATTTGGATCTTMAAAATCTGAGAATGCAGAATTGCAAAGTGAGGTTTCAAAGGCGAACATGTGCAGAGTCTCAAAAACTGAGGTAACATAAGAGTAAGTCTGCATTCAGCTCCAAGCCAGGTCTGTTTCTTTCCTCAGAAATAAAATGGCCAATCTTAAAACTAATACACAATTACACAGGTGGGCAAAGCACTGCCAATTCAGGTGATATTCTAATATTTTAAAATCTTCTAACCATTTTGCTGCATTCTGGAGCAATTGTATATAATTGCATTTCCCATTAACATTATTCCCAAACTTTTAAAATAGTTTTATTTCAAGAGGACTTAATGCTAAAATGAAACAGATGGCCTCAGATACTTCAGTTAAAGGGGTATATATTAGTTAAGGCAACTATAAAATACCACCGCCATCAAGATACTAAAAAAGTCAGCTATTTTGGAATTTACAATAATATCTTTTTCCCCATGCATGTGCAGGTTATCCTTTGCCTAGGTATGCTATGTATCCAGGAATTTAACTTGTTTTCCAGGTCCTTCCTTCCTTCCTTCCTTCCTTCCGTCCTTCCTTCCTTCCTTCCTTCCTTCCTTCCTTCCTTCCTTCCTTCCTCTCACTTTCTCCCTGTTTTCTGACCTAATTCTGATAAAAATTCTGAACTCTGTGATATTATTTCATCTGAAAACACAAAGGTAGAACTGAAGATACTCCACTGATCAAGCAATAACTTACTTTCTCAGATTTTAACAACTGATGCTATGTTGGATACACGTATAAATTTACCAGTTGAAGAAGGGAAGGTCAGAAAAGCCCTTCTGCCACTAACCATATACACYGCATTGCACTTGAGAAGATGGAGGTGAGCAAAGTGTCGCTGGCTTCTTKGACGTGGTGAATTCTGGAAGCTATCAGTGGGTCATGGGAATTCATTGGGTGCAGCCACAGCTCACAGATCAGCTATTTTAAGATACCCATTTTGTACTGAGGATGGGCCATTTTGAAATTTAGAAGTCAACTTTATTTTTAAAATGCTTCCTCTTACTAGTACTTAAAGTTAAAAGAATCTCTTGTTCTGTACATCAGCTCCTAT